GGTTTTGATTCTTCTCTGGTTGTGATAAGAACTTCAAGTCTCCATTATTGACATGTGTTCACTAGTATGATGATAAGTGTTTTTATTTTTAAGTTAAAAATATTTTTTTCAGAAAAATAAATTTAAAAAACAAAGAAAGAGAGTAGGTTGTGAATAGAAGCTTAAAGTTTTTTTATTTTCATATTTGAAAGCTTGAAGCTCTTTTAATCATGTCTGTTGTTTCGGTTTAAAGCTAGTGCTTTATTTCTTGTCTATTAAGTGGCCAGTTTGCAGAAGCCTAAGACTTCATCCTGATTGATGCATTTCGCTTATCCATTCCTTTTATGGGATAGGTGGAGAAAGTTTAAAGCTATATATGTTTATGAAAAACTTTTTATTTGCATATAAGTTTATGCATAGAAGTTTATCTGAATGTAAGATTAAAGTTTATGGCCTTTTATCTACATATTGGTCATTATGAAGTAGGAAGAAAAAGTTTAAAATTTTACCTTTCGCTCACGTTTGTCAGTTTAGTACATGTCTCTTTTTGTTGTCTGCAAGAGTTGGCATTTCAAGATTCATGGCACATTCTTGTTCCTGCATGATTCCTAATTTTTGATAAACAGAGATGATAGCAAATATAAATAAATAAGAAAAGTATTTGTGGGGATGGTTTATCTAGTATGCCATGAGGTTTGTCTTGGTTTTTTTTTTTTTTTTTGAAATTTAATTATTGCATGGGCTTGATTAATAATAATAATAATAATAATAATAATGTAAAAAAGATATTAATTAATTACTAATTAATTAATTAAAGATTTTAAATTTTCTGTTTAGATGTTTGAAAGAGTCCAAAATTATATTTTAAAAATAATAATAATGTATAAAAAATAATAATATAATAATTTAATCTATATGTTGAAAAATTATTAAATATTAAAATAAAATAATAAAAGATTAATAATAATAATAATAATATTATTATTATTATTAATGAAAAAGAAAATAAATAAAAATATAAAAAAATCCAATTTTTTTAGAAATAGATAAGGGTAAATAAGTAATAACAATAATTTTAAAGAAAAAAAAATATGAAAATATAAAAAATTTGATTTTTTGGAAAATTACAAAATATGAGTTTGCTTCGAAAGTTTATTTAGATGTTAAAAACTTTTAAAGAAATTCACAAATTTTTTAAACCCTAAATGAACCCCAAAATATAACCCTAAAATTGAAACATTAAGTGAAAGCCTAAACTTTAGGTAAAACTCAAAAACCTTAAGTGAAACCCTTAACCCTAGATAAAACATGAGACCTTAAAATACAACTTTGAAACCTTAAACCCTAGTTGAGGTCTTAAATGAAATATTAAAACCTCAAAACCCCAAAATCATCTAAAGTTTAAGGATTTGTATGAAAACATTTTATAAAGTAATTTATTTTTGAATGCTACATAGACGATATGATATTTAGGAAATTTTATCTCATTAAGATTGTTTATATAATTTTTTTAATTAAAATAATAATAAAATTAAATAAAAAATAAGATTTTAAATATAAAAATCACACCAACTCTATCTACAGGTTGAAACTCCAAGTGGTCTCTTTATATTTAAGGATCCGATCCTGAATTCACATGCTTATATCTTTAAATTGTTATTATTGTTTCTTGTTTATTGTGACATCATCCTCTTTCTGTATAAATATCTTTTTATGAAAAATATTATTTAAAAATGGATTTAAAATAAATAAGTAAATAAATTTAAAATAATATTTTAAAGAATATAATTTTTGGTACTCTGCCTAGATATTGGAGAGTCACTGATAATTATTATTTTCGAAGAATATTATTTTTATTTCACAAAAATATTGTGGTAAATCTTAGATGGAAAAGATTACTTTTAAATTCTGCTTTTATGTCGAAGGATTTTAAGGTATTTTTTTAATTTAGATATTTTCATAGTATTTCTAAAATAAGGGTTTTTAAATAATGGTATTTCTTAAAAATGAACGAAAATTTAATTAAATTTCATATAAAAATTATTTTTATCCAAAGTTATAAATATCATATGATTAATTGGTATTAATTTTATGAGTACTGTGAGAGTGCTAATTTTTTTCATGCGTGATCGATTCTTGAACTTAATTTTATTTTCGTAAATCAAAATTATCTTTTTAATAAACTTTAAATTCGTTGTATTAAAAAAATAAAATTTTTGGGTGACTAATTATACCGTAAAAAAGATTGATGACAACTTCTGTATTTTTTGCAATTTATGTCTAAAATACTTGAATTGAGTTTGAACAAGATTCCTTAAATGAGTTCTTAGGCTTGAACCTTAAATTCATTCCAATTTCTATAAAAGCATTTTGCATGCTGTTTCATTTTAAGAAATTGAATTTTTTCTTTTTACAAAAAAAAAAAGTAGTTTTAGATCTTTGAGAATATCAAAGAATTGGAGGTGGGGTTTGACCTAGGAATAGTTCTAGTTAGATCTTGCAGCAAACTTGGCTGTTTTGCTACAAGAAAAGGACTTGTAAAATCAATGGTGGTTTATAAAGTAGATTCTCTCACATGGAAAACTATGGCTACCAATTGGCATTCCAAACAAATTGTCGAGGTAGAAAAAAATCAATTTCCTAGTTATAGGATATGTGTGGATTGATATATTTGTTACTGAGTTCACTTTGTCCATTATGGATGTCGTTCATTTTTTTGGGGGTATTACTGCTTATTCACTATCTATCGTCTTTCTTTTTATTTAATTTGATATCGGAGTGGAATTGGAAATGTTTGAATTTGAATCTAAATCTTATAATATGATACAAATCTTTCTTTACTATTCGTTCAAGAGGTTATCGGCCACTATCCATTATCTAACCTAAAAAGGAAATTGGTAAAAAAAAAAAAAAAAACTTTCATAGTTAATTTCTCTCAAAATTAACCAACATTTCTTGTTAGGCTGTTTTAAAACATTTAGTATTATATCTTCTTGGGTTACAATGTAGCATATAATGGATGTACTGAGTATATAAAATTATAATAAAATAATATAATAAAATATTATAAATAAGATTAAATTAAATAATATCATTATATTATCTTGTATTTGATATATACATGGATTATAATAAGATAATTTATTTATTAATCAAAATTATTTTTTTAAAATTTATATAATTTAAATTATTGATATAATTTTTTTAAAAAATAATAAGATATATAAATTTAATTATATGAATTAAAAATAATTCTCTTTATTTTGAAATGATTAATCATTTTTTGATAAATGATGATTAATTTTTTTATAATATTATCTTTTTTTATACAAATCAAATATACTACAAAATAATTATCATTCTATTTTTTTAATTATTTTATATACCAAATATTACCAATATATATAATCACATCAAAACCCCGTGTAGGTCAAACCTTATAGTTGTGGATTGATACAAAGCCATAAATTCAATTCACATGGATTAAAACCAATTGTCTTTCAAGGCCACACACGTAAATATTGGTTTGTACTTTGGTATGTGTGGTACATCACAGGTTGTGTAGTAAGAGTTTAAGAAGTAAAACTGTTAAACATGATATAAAAATTATATAAAAATATAAAAATAATATGATTTAAAATTTTAATAAAAATTATATATAAATTTATTAAAATTAAAAGAAAATATTTTTTATTTTTATATCAATATGATATATAATTTTAGTATAAAATATAATATTATTACATAAATTATCAATATTTAACAGTATACAAATATACAAATTACTATATTTTCAGGCAGTCCTTTCTTTTGGCCCTTAGGCGAAATGCTTTTTCCAAAACCTGGATTTGCTATGTCCAATTCCTTGTTTAAGCATAGTCTTTCACGCGCAGTTAACCCCTATTGTATTTTGGCCAAAAAAAAAAAAAAAAAAAACCCCATCGTGTCATGGTTCAAGTTGTTGGACTCTTTTCATAATAATCTTGCAAAGATTTGGTAGCATAATTGTATAAAGGTTAATTTTATTAACCTTGGCTATACTCTTTTTCTAATGTGATATTGAGCAATGCAATAAGAAATAATATCCTATCCCATCTTATTAAACGTACGTTTTGTTCGTTTCAAATTTTAAACTCAAAATCTTAAAAATAAAGCTTTCCAGCTTTGTCTGTTGGGCAGTTCCATTTGGGAAAAGAGATAACTTTATATAAATTAAACATATATACTTTCAACGAATTTAGGAAAGCTTAGTGCTAATGCTTTAGCTAAAATTTTGTGCAACTTCAGTTTAAATTATGCATGCACGTGATATAATGATCCCCGAACACTTAAATAATTTTTTTAAAGTCTAAGTTGAAAAGCTTTTTTTATTAAAAATGATTAAATAAAAAAAATTAAAAAATAAATTTGAAATTTTATTTTGATAATTTAAAAAATTTTGTTATATAAATTAAATATATAAAATTTAAAATGATTTGAATACTTTATTCAAATAAACATTTGTATTGAAAATTCTAACAAAGTTATCACTATTCAATAAATGTTGGATCAAAAATTTTTTTTCTATATGCTATTTTTAATTTTGACATATTATTGATTTTTTCATTAAATTTTATCAATATATATATTTTTATTTAATTGATACAAACTTGACCCAAAAAAATTACCTAATCCTCTATGATATTTCTTGGCATTAATAATTATATTTATAAAAGAAATATTATTCACAGGGAGCCTTTCTTAAATTGTTTACAAAATTATCAAAGAATAACGACTAAATTAAACATCTGAAAACGTTATAGGGGTAAAACCACAGTTATCCCAACGCCAAAAAAAAAAAAAAAAAAGAGAATAAAAAAAGAGTGTGGTCCGGAGATGCAAGGAATCGACCCACTTTCCTCAGTCACGGAAAGCGAGCGCTCGCGTGACCGCACCCCACGATTCGAGCCAAATACCTTTCAGCAGCTCGGTTGATTGTAAGCAAAAAACAGTGCAGAAAAGTTCTCCACCCCCCCCCCCCCCCGAACTTCTAGAGCTCCTTTTGCTGCTGTCTGCTAAAAAATCAAAATCCAAAAAAAAACAAAAGAAGAAAAAAAAAACACTCTTTATTTGAATCTTTATTCATTCCTAGATTCACCAAAAACCCACGGCAAAACTCTACGTATAATTTTTTTTTTTTAATTTTATTTCCTTCCTTCTCTCCCTTTGGACATGGATTTCCAAGTAGTGGTTTTAGCCGGTGGCACTTCAAAGAATCTAACACCCCTTGTCTCCAAGGTCATTCCTCCCACTATTCTTTTTTGGCATTCAAAATTACCCTTTTCATAATTTCATTTATCTTTGCTTTTTCTCATTTCTGTTTCTTGAAATGCTTGCAGGAAGTGCCTAAACCGCTTCTTCCGGTAGCCAACCGCCCCCTTCTCTACTACGTTTTGCACCAATTAGAACAAAGCAATCTTAAAGATCTCATTGTTGTAAGAAAAAAAAACCCTAATTCCATTTTTTTCCTTATCTTTTATTGAAGTTTGATAGGTTAAATGGATGTTATTAATTATAGTTTTAAGGGTTTTTGATGTTTTGATTTGAATGATTGGGGTGGCAAAAAAGGTGGTTGAAGGGGAAGATGCTGCGCTTCTTGTTGGTAGTTGGATTTCTGGGACTTTCGTTGATCGTCTGCATGTTGAGGTAATTACCTTTTTTTTTTTTTTTCTGTTTACAATTTAACTTTAAGATTGTTTATGTTGAAACTATGCCATTTTATTGGTTATTGAAGATTTATATTAAGACTTGAATTAGTACTGTGTTTTATGAATGTTATTACTTGATTGGAACGAATTTAAAGTACAATTAAACTTGAATAGTAACATGAAATTGATTTGAGAGAAAAAAAGGGTGGGGGTTGAACTGAGCTCATAAGCTGCTTCACCTATTTAGAGTTTTTAACTCATTTTCACTAAATTCTCATCAAGCTTCAAGACTAAGAACAAATTTGAATCTTTAAACCAATCAAACTAGAATATCCAGCGTGTCAATTGTAGTTTAGGAAGTCCCTGGAAACCTACCATGTGCTCATTCTGTAACATAATCTGCATCATACTGCACTCTGAGAAGGTTGCATGCCTTCACCGTACCAAACAAGTGAACTTGGTGTTTGTGCTCATTCTAAGAAGCTTTTTGGGTTTACTTAGAGAAGTGGACCAGTTAATCGTATTAAATAAAGAAAACTTGGTGTTTGAGCAAATTATTTGTCATTGAAAGAGAGGAATGCACGAACTTTTAGGTGACTTGGTGTGGTGGCTTATTCGTGCAATTATTTGTCATTGAAAGAGAGGAATGCATGAACTTATAGGTGACCTAGTGTTTGTGCAATTAAGTTCTGAAATAGGATTACACTTTTTGGGTTTCTATTAGTTGTTTGTTTTGTCAGGTCTTGATCTATTTCCTGATCCACTTGTGAAGTCTAGTCCTAAATAGTCTTTGGAGGGTGAGTTTGAGTTAAAAATTTTGTAAATGTCATAACAGGTAGATCAAGCTTAGGAAGTTACATGGAGGCTGAGCACGTTTTGTAGCTTTAGATGACCGAAATATCAAATTCAACAGAACAATGTGAGATAAAGCCCTTTTGTCAGATCTTGTTCATTGACTTGGAATGGACCATGACCCTATGCCAATAATAAGTGTGATATTAGCAAGACCATTTACCCTTTTGGATGGGGTGTGGCAGGCTGACGGCAGCATCCTATGGTTGGAAATTTAACTTATGCTTATTCTTGCATGTGCTGGAGTCTAATTTTCATGTTGCTTCTCTGGACCTCAAAATTTGCTGTCCTTGCCTTAGCTAGGCTGAATATTTCTTTAATGATGGTTTGGGCTTTGCAAGATTGTAATCAGTTATTAATAAGAAACGAATTAAGGCTTTGTCAATTATAAGCCAATATGATAATAGGATAATGATAATCAGGCTAAGCTCTCTTATCATATTACACAATATATAATGGTTAATGGTTGTGCCCTAACTTATTGGAATTTAAGACTAATTGATGCAGGCATGGAAGCAGAAGTTTTCTTGTTATGCCATTTTAATTTGCAAAACTTAGATTGTTTTATCTATGGGAGCGAACAGCAATTTTATCCATTAGGTCATTAGGTTTTTGCTCATTTTGTTAAAGTCTGGAATATGACAGAATTGTATGGGCTTCGTGTCTTTCCTCCTAAAAAACCAGGTGAAGTTCATCATTTTGGTAACTCGGGCACTGCACTAAACAGCTTCATAAATTGACCTGTTCTGTTATGATTTCTTTTATCCGGAGATCTCTTTGGTGAATAAGTAGACTTTCAAATGCTTTAATATTTTCTAAGTATGATTTTTGAACAAATGCTTTTATTATAAGTTTTTCTTGTCACTTTATCTTTTCCCATGCGGTTTCACCTATGTCCTCTTCTCTTTTTGGCAACCAGTAATGCTCCATGTCAGAATCTGTTGTTATTATTAATCTGAAGCCTAATCAGGGTTATACCTGCTCTATTTTGTAGAATCTGTTGACACCTGTCCTGTATTGTCTTTCCAAATACATAGTTGATGATCTTAACAAGAATAGATGCTACTGAACAAAATTCTCTCCTCTTGTTGTTACATATAGAATCCCTTTATTATATGCATTCCTCTTTTTGGTTTTAATTTGAGTCTATTAGTGTAAATTTTTTCCTATTTTCTTTCTCCAGTTCCTAAATTCATACATCTAAGATGACAATGCATGCTTTTCATTTCTGTTCTTTTTTCATGAATATGCTTTTTAAGGTTGTAAGATTGCATGTCATTCTTTTGATATGAATTACATGTGTTTGCCATTGAAAATTTTTCCTTTCTCTAGTTTAATAACTAATTAATTTCTTCTTTTCTGATGTTGAAGATTGCTGCAGTCCCTGAGGATATAGGAACAGCTGGGGCAATTAGGGCAATCTCACACCACCTCACCACAAAAGACATTTTGGTTAGAATTCTTTTCATTAATAGTGTTTGAGTTCCCAAGCAAAGTTGTTTCTTTACAGACCACTTCATTTTTCTGCAGGTTGTGAGTGGTGATCTTGTTTCTGATGTTCCTCCTGGTGCAGTTGCTGCCACCCATAGGCGACATGATGCAGTAGTAACTGCAATGCTTTGCTCTGTTCCTGTTAGTGGACCTTCAGAGTCAGGATCCTCTGGTGGAAAAGACAAAGCCAAGAAACCAGGACGATACGACATCATTGGACTGGACCCTGGCAAACAGTTTTTATTACACATAGCAACAGGTTAGAATTTAAACATTTTGTTTTATTTAGCTTGTTACTTGGACTCGCCTTTTTTATTGGCCAAACTTGGACTTGCCTGACATAGAATCTTTTAATGCTTTATAGGAGCAGAAATTGAGAAAGATACTCGACTTCAGAAGCACATTCTCCATGCAGTAGGCCAGGTTTTGCTTAACATCAATCCATTTACCTTTTTTACGACTCTTCAACTATGACAACTGATGCCCAGCTGATGAAAATGATTAATGATAGAGTTGTATGCTCCCACGTACAAGTTTAGAGGCTCAGTTTTTTATTTAAAGCAAAACATATTCTATTGATTGGACCAGCCTTTACCTGCCTATATGCCAATTTAAAAGCTAGTAATATTCTTTTCGGGCAATAATTTAAAAGCTACTATTTGGGTCTAGTTCTTCTGAAAGCATTCACGTTACAATAAAATGTCCTTCTGTTTGGTAACAGAGCTTATCATGTTATCCTATTGTCTTATAATATTATTCTTTGCTATGTACATGTTTCTCCCTGCACTCTTTATGTGTGTGCATATTCATTTATTTTCTTTTGTCAAATGGAAAAGTAAATTGTCTGTTAAAGGACAATTTTTCCTTTCGCATTTTGCTCATCCATCAAACAGTTTATATTTGTGAGATATTCTGTTGTCAACCTCATTTTCCTTTTTACATTTTATGTAGATGGAAATTCGATCTGATCTAATGGATGCTTATATGTATGCATTCAAGAGGTTGGTTCCCTCCATCTAACACACCCCCCACCCCGACTTGTTTTGAAATCAGACTTCAAATTCGGTCTGCTTTTTGTCATTGTGTATAATTCCTTATTATATTTCAACTCAGGTCTGTCCTGCAAGAAGTTTTAGACCAAAAGGATACATTTCAAAGCTTGAAACATGATGTGCTTCCTTATCTTGTCCAGAGCCAGCTGGTTAGTATCACTACATGTCAGGATGTTCAAAAACCACTTGTGTATTTGGGTATCAAATTTTGTTCCTCATTCTTTTATAACTATCAGAAATCAGAGGCCCTATTAAATGGAATTCCACAAGCAGAAGAAAATGGTAATGAGAAGTTTAGTTCCCAGAACAATCAAGTATTGGTCTCTCAAATCCTCTTTAATTCATCTATCCCAAGCTTTCACAAAATCAGTTCTGTTGATCCTGATGGTTCTGCTTCTATTCGGACCCATAAATGCTGCGCTTATATTGCAAGCAGCAGCAGTTATTGTATGCGCTTAAATTCCATTCAAGCGTTTATGGACATCAATCGAGATGTGAGTTCTATTTCTCATTTATGCTTTTCTTTTACAGTCTGTGCTTTTTAATCCACTTTTTATGTCATTCAATTGACGTATTTCTTTGTCTAATATTTCAGGTTACTGGTGAGGCAGATTATCTGTTAAGCAATACCTCCTCAGATCATAATAATGTTATAGGTCCTTCACCGAAGCTTGGAACCAAAACTACTGTAAGCCTACATCACCAACACTAACTTTTAGAATTATTTAAAATCAGTTTGGATAACAGCTGCTGATTATTATGATAAATAATAACAATTGGTTTTTAACATCTATGCTTTATACTCTTAAAACTAAGGCCTTATCTTTCTATGATTTTAGGTGGGACCACACTGTATGCTTGGCGAAGGTTCAGAAATGGGCGACAAATGCCAGGTAAAACGATCTGTCATTGGCCGTCACTGCCGGATAGGCTCCCATGTGAAGGTATGATGATTTCTCTAATCATAACAGGCAAGCATAATTAAGCAGAAAGTAAATCGATGCTGTCAGTAAAGCTTGTCCTATATGATTTTTTTCATTTATGAATTTATAAATAAGAGGAAAGTTCCAAGCTTAGATAATTGTTCACTTTGTAACTAAAAATTTCTTTCCATGCATATGCAGGTTGTCAATTCAGTTGTAATGAATCATGTTACCATTGGTGATGGTTGTATAATTCAAGGTTCTGTGATTTGCAGCAATGTACAGCTTCAAGAGCGTGTTGTATTGAAAGATTGCCAAGTACTTCTCTAACACTATTGTGTCAACTTCACATACACGTAAAGAATCAATTGATTTTATTATTTTTATTACCATTCGTATCTATAGTAGTTTCTTTGCATTGTGCTTCTTTTAGGTTGGAGCAGGTTTCGTAGTTACTGCCGGTAGCGAGTATAAGGGAGAATCTATGGCTAGAAAAGAGAAATGAGTTAAGGTTGTATCCCAGAATTGAAAGAAAATTGCCAGTCCCGAACCAACTCATTTTTGCGGAGCTTGTTAGACATACTTCTCCAGAACTTCTGGTGCCAGTAAAATGCCGATCCTTGGCAAGTGAAGGACCAAGATTAACCATTGTATTTTTCCTGCCCCCATTTTATTTGAATGGTTGTGTTGCTTGTATTTGATGTATTCAAGCCTATATATTTTCATTGACTAAAGGGAATATACAGACTAGCCCAATTTTGGCTTAATTTTTTGATATTCAAATTTTACTAGTATTAGAAAAAGGAAAGCCTTAACATATTCTTGTTCAACTCTGTTTTTCTCCTCTTAAAGTTTGTAGTGCAGAATTCTACCATCAAAGTAGCTAGATGATATACTTGCCTGTTTTGCGATGATTTATTTATGAAATTTAAGCAAAGGGTCTCGATCAGATCATATATTGCTTCTATACGGACTAGTTTATCTGTATGATGAAACTGACTGTCTACACCCATAAATAAAGGATCATACATTGGCTAATACGTTTTGCCTTGGCCTAGAATTGTCTGAAGCATAAACTACTTAAAAAAGAGAGCAGCTCTCTCAACCCCAATGGCCAATAATTCCTACTATACTGAGCTCAAATTGAGCAACTGTTCTACAATGTTTTCCCCAAAATGATACTTCAAGTGATGGGCTATGATGAGTTTTGACGGCATTAGGAAGGCCAACAAAAAGAACAAGCAATGACAACAAGAATAACCTATCAATAGACCATGTCATCCTGGTTCATATCAAATGAAAATGCGTTTGCATATGCAGAATTAATAGTTGTAAGAATAAAAAAGGGAGACAGGAGAATAGGCAGACTTTTCCCTCCCGGCTTCTTTCTTTCTTTTTTTTCTTTTATTCCTGTAAAATTTATACTCTCTTTTTTTTTTTTTTAATTTTGTAATTGGTATAAAAGCCTTATATAGATCATAGACTGTACAAATCAGTGTTTAGATATATATATATATATATATATATATATTTGATATTTGATATTTTCAAATCCCAACTATCATTATAAGTATTTTTTTACTTTCATAGCTTTGAATTTTAAGTTTTATGTTTTAAAAACCATATATCTATTTACTATCTCTGTACTGGTGTTATGGCTTTTAAATTGAGCCTTAAATATCTTTGTAAGATATGCAAACGATTTTAGATACCAGGAACATGGAACAAGGTATTGAAAACTGTGTTTGTTCAAAAAAATCTTATAATTATAGTTTGCATGTAGATCCTTAATTAGAAAATCAATATACCGACAATCAGCTATAGTATTAATAGTTTAGTTGATTTATCTATAATTTTCTTTAAAAAAATTGTTTAATAAAGTAGATATATTAGAATCAAAAGTAGATAGTTTAGGACAAGTTACTTGCTTAAATTTAAACCAAGATTCTAAACAATTATTAGTAAATATTAATAAAAAGTTAGAATTATTAGAAGTTAATAAAAGTCAAACAAATTATTTTGAACCTTTATATTATGGTAATGCTATTCTTACTCTTAATGATGATAAACCATCATCTTCTCAACTTCTCAACCAACTAAGTTTTCTAAAGTAGAAAAATTAGATTTTAAATCCTATAAAAGTCTTATAGAACATTTTAAGTATAAAATGGAAAAAAATCACAACTCCTAAAAAAATAATTGATTATTTAAATATAATAGAAAAACTATATGAAACACATAAAGAACTTTTTAAAAAGTTTAATTATTATTATATGCTTGATTATACTATCGATGAAAGTAGTTTAGATGAAGAAAATGAAATAAAATAAAATAAAATAAAATAAAATTTCAACTACTAATCCAATAATAAAAGATGAAATTAGTAGTACAAAATTTTCATCCTCTGAAGAAGTAGATGAAGAAATAGATATTAAACCTACACTTATGGATCTTGATAAACAAAAAGTTTATAGGGAAAAAGAAAAGTAGGAGAAATTTTTAATCAAGAAATTGATGATAAAGATAAGTTTGATAATAGAACCGAAGATAATATTTATATAGATGAAATCAAACAAGTAGAAACATCTTTTGAAACTATTACAGAACCTATACTGCAATCTAGTTTTATAGAATCTTTAAACAAAAGAATTGTAGCTTAATAAGGAACATATTTAGATTTTTCAAAAATATATATAAATGACTATGAAAAAACCATAGAAGATTAGGCATAATCTATGACTATTGTAGTAAAAAACTACAAAGACAGCTAGTGTAAAGAAAAATTTTTAAACTATTTTTGTGGAACATTTCAAGGAGATGTTTTACAATTCTTGCGTAAATGGGAAAACTTTGAAATAGGAAAAGCTAAAAAAGGGGACTTTGTTAAATGAAATTACTATACTAGATTTGTTAAAAAAAAACCTTACAAATCTACTAAAAAATAAATTTTGTGGAAGAAGGTAACTAATTGATCAAAACAATGAAGCTAGTTATATATTGACTAAAATAAAATTATGTGACATAAAACATTTAGAAGAATTTTCTAAAATATATATACATGAATACCAAAAATTGGATGAAACTCATTCCGAATTTTGGAAGGAACAATATTTTCATAAATTACCATTATTATGGGATGAACTCTATAATCAACAGTATCCCAAATATTTAGAACTTCACAACCCTACAATAGAAAATAAAGACTATTTATATTCTGTAAGAAATATAATTTATTTTATTTCTAAACAAATCATAGAACATTACCTGAAAACAAAGGCTTTTAAGCAAGTAAAAAGTAAATTAAGTGATAAAAAATGCACAAAATATTAGAAAATGAATAAGAATTTGGTTGTAAATCTTAATCTAAAACCTATTCAAAGAAATACAAAAGGAAAAGAAGATATAAATTGGTCAAATGGAAGCTAAAAACGCATAAATTTGACAAAAAGAAAAAATTTGTTAAAAGAAAAACTTCTAAAAAGAAATCTAAATACAAATGTTTTATTTGTGATAAAGAAGTCCATATAGCACCTCAATGTCCTAATAAAGGAAAAAATACTAAAAAAGTTATTAAAACTCTTAAAGAATGAGATTTAAAAAATTGTATTAGAGAAGAAGTTTTTGAAGATGAAATTATTTATAAATTAATTTCTGAAACAGATTTGATTTTGATGATGATAAGCATATTTTTATGCTTAATACAAGTAGCAGTCCTAATAATAATACTATATTGGAAGTTAATAATCAACTTAATTCTGAAACTAAAAATATACCTATTGAAGAACAACAAATGCCAAAATTAAGTGATGTCTTAAGACAAGATATTACTATTTCAAATGAATTGTTAAAAATACTACAACCATTAAAGAAACATAAAATCTATAAACTTTTTATTTTTCCAAAATTCAAACCATGGATAAAAAGACACAAAAAAAATTTAGTGGCAATACTATAACTACTAATTCTAATCAAGGATCTATAGATATTCCTTTATTTACTGAAAAAAAAATTAGGAAAATTAAACAAAAATATCCTGAAGTTAGATATATATATTTAGGAATAATTATGATAACTATAAAAGCTTTATTCAAAGTTGGTAACGATATACCAATAATAGCAGTATTAATAGATAAAAGATTTGAAAATCCTATTAAAGCACTAATAGGAGGAATACGATCAAATCTTGTATCAAGCGTTGTTTGGTTTAAAGTAAAATCAAATTATTTTATTTCTATTAATGACTTATTAATAGAAGACTACCTTATATTAAGAATAACGACAAAACAGTAAGAAATTATAAATGTAGCACATGATCTGTCTATAAACTGACAGCTATCAATGAATTTACTAATCATACTTTTATATCTATTAAAGAAATAGATTCCAATATTATAAAAATATTTGAACCTAAACCTTTTGATTTAGAAATCAAACTAAGATTAATGAATCTTAGAGATCTTTTAGTACTAATCGGATGGTTATTAGAAGGTATTACAGAACGTGTTCCTTCTAAGAGAAAAATAAAACCTATGAAATTTTTTGTGTCAAGAAATAATTTGTATTTTAAAAATTATGAAAAAAGTAGTTCTAGTAACAATCTAATTCTACCTCCACCTTCTTTAATACATTCATTCTCAAATAGAGACAATGAAGATAATGAGAGTATTGCTAGTAAACAATCATTTGTTTTACATAGGCAATCTTTTCTTTCTCAACCTTAATCAATAGGAACAAAAAATATAAATATTCCTATTTTTCCAGGAGACACAAGTAGTCAAAATAAAGAAAATTCAAGTTACAACTCAGTAAACTCGGTTTTAAATTTAATTTCTTCTAGAAATACTAAAAGAGATGATATTGAAAGTTTAGCTCTAATTAACCAATATAAAATTGGTAATGATGAAGTAATTACATTTTCAAAAAATCAACAAAAAAAGTTCTACAATTATATTGAAGCAAAATTTAGATTTAAACAGTATAAACCATACTCTTTAAATATTTTAATAGACATTGGAACAACTATATATAGCTGTAAAAGTAATGCTTTACCATTAGAAAAATGGGTACCAATGAAACAACCTATTGTAGTAATAGGAATCAATGGAAAAGAAACTATAATAGAATACAAAGCAAAAAATATTTCTATTTATTTTATGAATAAAAATTCATAATTTCAAAAATTTTATACTTTCTTTTTATGCATGGTGATATGTTATTAGGAAATAATTTTATAAAAAATTATTTACCTTTTTGTTTGAATATTAATAATATTGTTTTTACAATAGATAAAGAATCTATAGAAATACCACTATTAAAAAATCATAAACATATATGTGATTCTAATTTTCGACCTAAAACCAAAAAAATGAAAATTAAATCAATTAATGAAAAACACTAATTATATAAAATTTTAAAAGAAAAGTTTAGTGATGAACCAATAAAATTATGATCTAGAAACCCTAGATTTTGTAGCTTAAAAATTATTGATTCAAAGAAAATAATTAGAGTAAAACTAATGATTTATACTAAACAAGATATAATTGAATTTGATATACAAATCAATGAACTTTTACAAAAAAGACTTATAGAACCCACTAATAGTCTACATTTAAGTCCAACATTTATGGTAAGAAATCATGCTGAACTAAAAACAATAAAAGCCAGAATGGTAATCAACTATAAAAGTCTTAATCAAAATCTAATATTTGATGGATATTTTATTCTTAGAAAAGATGTGTTAATAAACTTGGCAACAAATGCTAAATATTTTAATAAATTTGATTGTAAATCAGGATTTTGGCAAATAATGCTAATCAAAGAGTCAAAACCATTAACAGCCTTTAATACACTAAAAAGACAATATCAATGGAAAGTTATACCATTTGGACTTTGTAATGCTTCACAAATTTTTCAGAAATAGATGGACACCATTTTTAGGAAATATAAAGATTTTTGTATGATGTATATTGATAATATACTTATATGTTTTGAAACATTAAATAAGCACAGAAAACAATTAAATCTTATAGCTCAAGAATTTATAAAACATGGTATAATATTAAACCTTAAAAAGATAGAGCTTGGAAAAACTAATATAGAATTCTTGTGATTATATTTATGTTCAGACGGTTTTACTTTATAAGATCATATTATAGTAAAAATTAACGAATTTTTAGAACAATTGGAAGATAAAAAACAACTTCAAAGTTTCCTTGGTTTTCT